GTGGAGAAGGGGAGGAGGAGGAGAGGAGGAGGAGCAGAGGGGGGACGGAGTTGCCTCGCCGTAAGTTCGGCCTGTGCGGTCCCCGGAAAGGGGTCGAGTGGTTCAGGGGGCAGGCATTGAAAAACGCGCGACGTCGCAGGTCGGGGGAGGGGGAGGATCGAGACCTCTGGGCGTTCCTCGTGTCTCTTGGGCCTCGGGCTTGCTTCTGTTGGCCATGGCTGGATTTCCCTCGAGACACTTGTCGGAACGCATCTCTGGTCTGAGGTTTTGAGTATAGTTCGGAGGTTGAGGTTTCCCGAGGTTCTGTGAGGTTTCGGTCAGTATTTGGAGGTTTTTGCATGTTCTGAACGTTTCCCAACACTTCCAGAAGGGCAGGAGGATGGATGGGGGAAGGGCCTCATCCAGGCGTCTTCAGACAAATCCGACGGGAGCATTCGCTCTGATTCTAGCCCTGGGTCCTGCACGGGTCGATTCTGCTCGAGAACTGCTGCGCGAAGATGGTGTCGTCCACCCCACATTCCTGAGGCGGGAGCGCTGGTCCCGAGGTACAACGCAAGGATGTCGCTGCTGAACAGTTTGAAGCCACGTGCGCGCTCTCGGGCGAGAGCCCGACGTCGAACAGAGACCGCCTCCCACCAATGTAAGTGTTCAAGCATTGGGGATCTATTTAGGTACTGATATTTCTATGTTTATGGACATGCATATTTAGGCATATGCAAATTTAGATGCACATGTACCTATATGTATCTAGGTGCTTGCGTACTCATGAATGTGTGTATATATATGCTTAGATATTTGCAATGCATATGTTTACTCATGTGTAGACGTACATGTATATGTATATGGGTATGTATGCGTAGATGCTTCTGGTAATGTACATGTGCACATGTATGTGCATTTCTTTGTTTGTAGACATTCATGTCTGCATCCATATATATATTTATACTCACATGCACATATTTTAATCTACACAGGCACGATTCGGATGCATATATATATATATGAACATGTCTATGCACACGGTCCTACCATGTATATATTTGTTTGTGTACATGCATATGTATACGCATATGTAGCAGCAAAGGTCTATGGATTTTGTGTATCTGTGTGTATAAGCACATGCCACTGTATATGTATGTGAATCTTTACAAGACTATCTATATGTATCGGTGTTTGCATTAGTTTGCCTACGTGACGCATGTGTAGATCTATACGTATATGTGCGTGTGTATCTGTATAGCTCTATGAATATGTACCTGTGCATGCGTGTCCATCAGTACCTGTATGTCTGTATGCATATGCATGTGCATTTGCTAATGTATACATATAAGTAGATGGATGGATTTGTTTACATGTGTGTGTACATGTGCGTGTATACGTATATGTATATGCATGTTCGTATCTACATGAACATATATACATATACAGATACATATATATATATATACATATATATATACACGTACACGTACATGTACACGTGTAGGCATATGTACAAGTATTTGTATGCACATATGCATTTGTATACGCATTTGTATACGCATACGTACATTTGCATATGTATAGGTATACGTATATGTATATTCACATTTGTATGTATATTCATATGTGTATGCGCATTTGTATGTTTATGTTTATGCATGTGGCAACCTATGTCGTGCGAACATGTTGTTCAATCTATGGTGTGGAGTCAACGTCGTGCAATACATGTAGGGACACATTTCTGGTGTAATCTATGTGGTGCATTCACGGTGGAGCAATGTACGCGTACAACCACATGTGGTACAATTCATGGGTTGCAATCTATAGTGTGCAGTTCAGGTCGTGCAATGTTGTGTACAATCTATGTGGTGCAATCTATGATGTGCAATCTATGTTGTACAGTCTATGTTGGGCAATCCATGTGAAGCAATCTGCGTGGTGCAACCCGTGTGGACCAGTATATGTGGTGCCATCCATGTGGTGCAATCTATGCTGTGCAATCTGTGTAGTGCAAGCCATGTGTTGCAACCTGTTTTGTGCAATCTGTGCGGGATCATCTTTGCTGTGCAATATATGTGATGCAATATATGTTGTGTAAACTATGTGATGCAAACTGCGAGCGGCACTCCCGCCCAGACGACGGGCGGCGAAGGAGCGGCGACGGGGCGACGACGGCGACAACACAGCCGCCAGACCGCCACCCAGACCCAGACGACGGGCGGCGACGGTGCGGCGACGGTGCGGCGACGGCGACAACACAGCCGCCAGACTGCCACCCAGGCCCAGATTCTGTGCGGCGACGAGGCCGCGACGGGGCTGCGACGGCGACAATAACCGCCAGAGGCATTGCTTGGGGAATATAAGATGCCTGCGGCGAATCACCGCCGCCCCCTGCCTTTTGGAAACGCCCATGCGGCTACACGTTGGACCGAAGTCTGGTCAAGCTATTGGACTATTTGTTCCCCCAGCCGCTGTGGAAACCCCTTGGGGGAACACTAGGGGGAGAAAGATGAATGAGGAGGACGAGCGGGAGGAGACGGCGGAGGAGGAAGAAGAGGAAACCTCTTGAGGTCCTCTTGGGCCCTTAGGTCCTCTTGGTTACTCTTGGGTTCTCTCGGGGGGGGACCAATTGGGGGCCTCCTGGGGCCTCTTGGGGTTCTCCCGGGGCATCTTAGAGAACCCTCATGAGCCGTCTTGCGGGCCTCTTGGGGGCCTCTTAGGCAGTCTCTATGGCGATCTTGGGGGCTTATGGTCCCGTCTTGGAGCGTCGGGAGCCGAGCACGCTGAAAGCATTGAACACACTAGACGTTAGCCTCCTGGAGGTTCTCTTGGAGCCCTCTTGGGGCGTCTAAGGGGCCTCTTGGGCTTCGGAGACCGTCTTGGGCCCTCCCTGGGCAGTCGTTGGTCCTTCTTTTGGCGCTGTAGGGCCGTCTTGGAGGTCTCGGGGGCCGCCTTGAGGCCGTCTTGGGGGCCTCCTGGGCTGTCTTGGGACCACCCTCTGAGGTCATCTTGCGTGCCTCTTGGGGACCTCTTGGGGCGATGTTGGGGTGATCCTGAAGGCCCATCGGCCCGCCTTGGAGCGTTGGAAGCCCGACAAGGCGAGAACGCTTACATCATTGAACGTACATACGGAACATCACAGATTTTGGCCTCCTGGCTGTCCTCTTGGAGCCCTGTTCGGGCGTCTACGGGGCCTCTTGGCCTTCAGATGCCGCCTGTCGCCTGGGGCCGTCTGAGCGGCCTCCTGGGTTGTCTTGCGACCCTCTGGGTCCGTCTTGCGGGCCTCTTGGGGGCTTCCTTGGCCGTCTCGGGGCGATCTTGGGGGCGTATGGGCCCCCGTCTTGGAGCTTCTGAAACCCGCAAAGGCGAGAACGCTCACATCATTGAAACCATATGGAACATATGTTGGCCTTCTGTCGGTCCTCTTGGAGCCCTCTTGGGGCGTCTGAGAGGGCTCTTTGGGCCGTCTGGAGGACATCATGGAACATCTTGGGACCATCTCGGCCATCTTAGAGGCGCCTTGGAATCGTCATGGAGGCCGTCTTGGACCATCTTTGCCGTTTTGGGGGCATCTGGGGCCATATTGGCCGTCTTAGAGGCCATCCAGGGGCCGTCTTGGGCGGGAACCACCATGTCAGCCAGATTTTCTGCACGGTCGGCTGGTTGTGCCGAAGCGCACTAGGAGGTCTTTGAAAAAGAACCCAAAGCCCTCAGAAGTTTCGCTCGCCGTGCACCCCGGTGATGAATCACCAAAGGGGAGGGCGGCGGATTCCGTAGCCATTTTGGCTCAAGTGTTTCTTGCCCGAGCCGCTTTGGCAGCTAGCCAGCTCATTGCCTGCCTGGGGCTCGCTATCGCGTCTTGCGTTTTTGTCACGCCATGCATCGCGTTGGCAGCGCAGTCCTCGGTGCCGTTAGCTTCCAGCTCGCGCACTTGGCCCTGGAGGCGCCACAGAGTCGGGCAGCGTGGGGTTGGAGCATGGACGTGCCGCCTGGCCTTGGCTTCACGTGCGAGGAGGGCAGCACCATTGCCGGAGCTGCTGGTTCACCTGACAGCGATTTTGATTGCACAGTTGTACCGGACAGCGGCATGGAATGTGATGTCTCGAGCACGAGCATAGTGTGCTATAAGACTGCCACGCCAAGCGACACCTTCATCCCAACAGCGGGGCTGTGCATCAACAATGGCCATCCGCCCAATATGGATGACAACGACTCGGCGATCACGTGGAGTACAGTGCCATCATGCACCGAGGTCGACACAACAGTCGATGATGTGACAAGCGACACACCTATGGCATCAGCCGTTGGTGCGGCAGTTGCAGTGAGCGTGCTCTGCGTCTAGATTCTAGATCAAGACCCCGTGCTTAGCGCCCGCTTTTGAATTCGTGATTCATTCGAAAGTCTCTCCCATCATAGCCACTTGCTGTAACGAGTTGGCGCGTAGCTTTGCTGCGTGAGCTGTGAGGGCAGAGCGGCATGCACCCGCAAATAGCAGGGGTACCATTACCGCTTGCGGGCGCGTAGCTCTGCAGAAGCGTGAGGCGACAGCGGGGTGCACCCGCACACAGCAGGGGGTTGCCGCTGCCGCTCGCACCGCAGACACTGCCTGCTGCATTTTGTGATAGTTTGGTTTTCGCTGCGCAGAGCAAGCGCGCATCATTTTCAGCGCTGGTATCATTTTCAGTTGCCCGCGTGTGGCCCGTATGAGCGCACGCCAGAAGCATTCTTCATCTGATAGCCAACCGCTTGCAAAAAAAAGGGCAGGGCGGCGGATCTAAGGCGCCTACGGCGAATCACCACCGTCGCCTGCCTTTTGGAAGCGCCCATGTGGCCAACAGTTGGACCGGAGTCTGGCCAAGCCATTGGACTATGTGTTCCCCCCAGCCATTGTGGAAATCCTCAGGGGAACACTCGAGAGGAAGGGAAAGGAGGAGGAGAGGAAGGAGAAGGCGGGGGTGGAAGAGGAAAAGGCCTTTTGAGGCGCTCTTGGGGCTCTTGGGGACTTCCCTGGGAGCCTTTTCGGAGGGTTCTAAGACGCATCTTGGGGGCCTCTGGGGCCTCTTGGGGTCTCCTGGGACCTCTTGGGGACCTCTTAGGGACCTCTTGGGTGCCTCTTGGGGGCCTCCTGGCCTTCGGAGGCCGTCTTGGGCCCCTCTTGCTGGGCCGTCGTGGGTCCCTCTTTGGGCCCTCTAGGGCCATCTTCTGGGGCCGTCTTTTCGGGCGTCTTGGGGGCCTCCTGGGCTGTCTTGGGGCCCTCTTGGGCCGTGTTGCGGGCCTCTTGCGGGCCTCCTGCCTGTTGGTCCGTCTTGGAGCATCGGAAGCCCGAAGAGGCGAGAATGCTAACATCATTGGAACCCCGACGGAACATTCGGGCGTTTTTGGCCTGCTGGAAGTCCCCGTGGAGCCAACCTGGGGCGTCTCAGGGTTCTCGTGGGCCGTCTGGAGGGCATCTTGGGCCGTCTTGGCGCCATCTTGGTCGTCTTGGAGGCGTCTCGGGACTGTCCTGAGAGCCATCTTGGGTTATCTTGGCTGTCTTGGAAGCATCTTGGAGACATCTTGGAGGCCATCTTGGGCCTTCAGGGGCCATTTTGGAGGCGATTTTGTCAACGAGGTGTGGATTTTCCCGAGCTTGCCAGGTGGCCGGCGGGTTGGGCCGAATCCCAGGGGAAGTTCTTTAGACAAGAACCAACTTTCACCCAGACATCCAGCACGCCGTGCACCCTTATGGCAAGACCAGGGGGGTCGGCGGATCGAAGACGCCTACGGCGAATCACCGCCGCCCCCTGCTATTTTGAATCGTCCATCTGGCCGAGCCTTGTGGCAACAACTCTGCCAAGCTATATCGGACCATGTGTTCCCCCCAGCTGTTGTGGAAACCCTTTGGGGAACACTTGGGGGAGGATGGCGGGGAAGACCAGGAGGGGGAGGAGGAGGAGGAGGAGGAGGAGGAGGAGGAGGAGGAAGAGAAGGAGGAGGAGGAGGGAGGAGGAGGAGGGGATGAGGAGGAGGGGGAGGGAGGAGGAGGAGGGGAGGAGGAGGAGGGAGGAGGAGAAGGAGGAAGAGGAGGAGGAGGGGGAGGAGGAGAGGAGAGGAGGAGGAGGGAGGAGGGGAGGAGGAGGAGGAGGAGAGGAGCAGGAGGAGGGGAAGGGGAAGAGGAGGAGGAGGGGGAGGGAGGAGGAGGGGGAGGAGGAGGAGGGGGAGGGAGGAGGAGGAGGAGAAGAGGAGGAGGAGGAGGAGGAGGAGGAGAGAGGAGGAGGAAGGATAGAGGAGGAGGAGGAGGAGGAGGAGGAGGAGAGGCGAAGGGCGCATCTTTGGAGCCTCCGGGGGCAGTCTTGGGGCCTCCTAAGAGCTTCCTGGGAGCCTCTTGCAGGCATCTTGGGGGCCTCCTTGGGCCTCTTGTGGGTCTTTCGGGGCTTCTCGGGGTCCTCTTTGGCCTTCCTAGGGCGTTCCTGGCCCGTCCGACGCCGTCGGAAGCTATCTTCGGGTCTCTCTGGGCCGACTTGGGGGCCCTCTTGGGGTGCTCTAGGGCCGTCTTGGAGGCGCAGCCCTGCTGCGGACTGCTGAGCCCTGCTGAGTCAGCTGGCAGCGCCACGGGAGCCGGGCGCACAACATGTAGGGACACATTTCTGGTGTAATCTATGTGGTGCATTCACGGTGGAGCAATGTACGCGTACAACCACATGTGGTACAATTCATGGGTTGCAATCTATAGTGTGCAGTTCAGGTCGTGCAATGTTGTGTACAATCTATGTGGTGCAATCTATGATGTGCAATCTATGTTGTACAGTCTATGTTGGGCAATCCATGTGAAGCAATCTGCGTGGTGCAACCCGTGTGGACCAGTATATGTGGTGCCATCCATGTGGTGCAATCTATGCTGTGCAATCCGTGTAGTGCAAGCCATGTGTTGCAACCTGTTTTGTGCAATCTGTGCGGGATCATCTTTGCTGTGCAATATATGTGATGCAATATATGTTGTGTAAACTATGTGATGCAAAGTGCGAGCGGCACTCCCGCCCAGACGACGGGCGGCGAAGGAGCGGCGACGGGGCGACGACGGCGACAACACAGCCGCCAGACCGCCACCCAGACCCAGACGACGGGCGGCGACGGTGCGGCGACGGTGCGGCGACGGCGACAACACAGCCGCCAGACTGCCACCCAGGCCCAGATTCTGTGCGGCGACGAGGCCGCGACGGGGCTGCGACGGCGACAATAACCGCCAGACCGCCACACCAGCCGAGTTCCTTAGAAAAGAAGTAAGCACCCCTAGGTGCAGGCATTGCTTGGGGAATATAAGATGCCTGCGGCGAATCACCGCCGCCCCCTGCCTTTTGGAAACGCCCATGCGGCTACACGTTGGACCGAAGTCTGGTCAAGCTATTGGACTATTTGTTCCCCCAGCCGCTGTGGAAACCCCTTGGGGGAACACTAGGGGGAGAAAGATGAATGAGGAGGACGAGCGGGAGGAGACGGCGGAGGAGGAAGAAGAGGAAACCTCTTGAGGTCCTCTTGGGCCCTTAGGTCCTCTTGGTTACTCTTGGGTTCTCTCGGGGGGGGGACCAATTGGGGGCCTCCTGGGGCTCTTGGGGTTCTCCCGGGGCATTTTAGAGAACCCTCATGAGCCGTCTTGCGGGCCTCTTGGGGGCCTCTTAGGCAGTCTCTATGGCGATCTTGGGGGCTTATGGTCCGTCTTGGAGCGTCGGGAGCCGAGCACGCTGAAAGCATTGAACACACTAGACGTTAGCCTCCTGGAGGTTCTCTTGGAGCCCTCTTGGGGCGTCTAAGGGGCCTCTTGGGCTTCGGAGACCGTCTTGGGCCCTCCCTGGGCAGTCGTTGGTCCTTCTTTTGGCGCTGTAGGGCCGTCTTGGAGGTCTCGGGGGCCGCCTTGAGGCCGTCTTGGGGGCCTCCTGGGCTGTCTTGGGACCACCCTCTGAGGTCATCTTGCGTGCCTCTTGGGGACCTCTTGGGGCGATGTTGGGGTGATCCTGAAGGCCCATCGGCCCGCCTTGGAGCGTTGGAAGCCCGACAAGGCGAGAACGCTTACATCATTGAACGTACATACGGAACATCACAGATTTTGGCCTCCTGGCTGTCCTCTTGGAGCCCTGTTCGGGCGTCTACGGGGCCTCTTGGCCTTCAGATGCCGCCTGTCGCCTGGGGCCGTCTGAGCGGCCTCCTGGGTTGTCTTGCGACCCTCTGGGTCCGTCTTGCGGGCCTCTTGGGGGCTTCCTTGGCCGTCTCGGGGCGATCTTGGGGGCGTATGGGCCCCCGTCTTGGAGCTTCTGAAACCCGCAAAGGCGAGAACGCTCACATCATTGAAACCATATGGAACATATGTTGGCCTTCTGTCGGTCCTCTTGGAGCCCTCTTGGGGCGTCTGAGAGGGCTCTTTGGGCCGTCTGGAGGACATCATGGAACATCTTGGCACCATCTCGGCCATCTTAGAGGCGCCTTGGAATCGTCATGGAGGCCGTCTTGGACCATCTTTGCCGTTTTGGGGGCATCTGGGGCCATATTGGCCGTCTTAGAGGCCATCCAGGGGCCGTCTTGGGCGGGAACCACCATGTCAGCCAGATTTTCTGCACGGTCGGCTGGTTGTGCCGAAGCACACTAGGAGGTCTTTGAAAAAGAACCCAAAGCCCTCAGAAGTTTCGCTCGCCGTGCACCCCGGTGATGAATCACCAAAGGGGAGGGCGGCGGATTCCGTAGCCATTTTGGCTCAAGTGTTTCTTGCCCGAGCCGCTTTGGCAGCTAGCCAGCTCATTGCCTGCCTGGGGCTCGCTATCGCGTCTTGCGTTTTTGTCACGCCATGCATCGCGTTGGCAGCGCAGTCCTCGGTGCCGTTAGCTTCCAGCTCGCGCACTTGGCCCTGGAGGCGCCACAGAGTCGGGCAGCGTGGGGTTGGAGCATGGACGTGCCGCCTGGCCTTGGCTTCACGTGCGAGGAGGGCAGCACCATTGCCGGAGCTGCTGGTTCACCTGACAGCGATTTTGATTGCACAGTTGTACCGGACAGCGGCATGGAATGTGATGTCTCGAGCACGAGCATAGTGTGCTATAAGACTGCCACGCCAAGCGACACCTTCATCCCAACAGCGGGGCTGTGCATCAACAATGGCCATCCGCCCAATATGGATGACAACGACTCGGCGATCACGTGGAGTACAGTGCCATCATGCACCGAGGTCGACACAACAGTCGATGATGTGACAAGCGACACACCTATGGCATCAGCCGTTGGTGCGGCAGTTGCAGTGAGCGTGCTCTGCGTCTAGATTCTAGATCAAGACCCCGTGCTTAGCGCCCGCTTTTGAATTCGTGATTCATTCGAAAGTCTCTCCCATCATAGCCACTTGCTGTAACGAGTTGGCGCGTAGCTTTGCTGCGTGAGCTGTGAGGGCAGAGCGGCATGCACCCGCAAATAGCAGGGGTACCATTACCGCTTGCGGGCGCGTAGCTCTGCAGAAGCGTGAGGCGACAGCGGGGTGCACCCGCACACAGCAGGGGGTTGCCGCTGCCGCTCGCACCGCAGACACTGCCTGCTGCATTTTGTGATAGTTTGGTTTTCGCTGCGCAGAGCAAGCGCGCATCATTTTCAGCGCTGGTATCATTTTCAGTTGCCCGCGTGTGGCCCGTATGAGCGCACGCCAGAAGCATTCTTCATCTGATAGCCAACCGCTTGCAAAAAAAAGGGCAGGGCGGCGGATCTAAGGCGCCTACGGCGAATCACCACCGTCGCCTGCCTTTTGGAAGCGCCCATGTGGCCAACAGTTGGACCGGAGTCTGGCCAAGCTATTGGACTATGTGTTCCCCCCAGCCATTGTGGAAATCCTCAGGGGAACACTCGAGAGGAAGGGAAAGGAGGAGGAGAGGAAGGAGAAGGCGGGGGTGGAAGAGGAAAAGGCCTCTTGAGGCGCTCTTGGGGCTCTTGGGGACTTCCCTGGGAGCCTTTTCGGAGGGTTCTAAGACGCATCTTGGGGGCCTCTGGGGCCTCTTGGGGTCTCCTGGGACCTCTTGGGGACCTCTTAGGGACCTCTTGGGTGCCTCTTGGGGGCCTCCTGGCCTTCGGAGGCCGTCTTGGGCCCCTCTTGCTGGGCCGTCGTGGGTCCCTCTTTGGGCCCTCTAGGGCCATCTTCTGGGGCCGTCTTTTCGGGCGTCTTGGGGGCCTCCTGGGCTGTCTTGGGGCCCTCTTGGGCCGTGTTGCGGGCCTCTTGCGGGCCTCCTGCCTGTTGGTCCGTCTTGGAGCATCGGAAGCCCGAAGAGGCGAGAATGCTAACATCATTGGAACCCCGACGGAACATTCGGGCGTTTTTGGCCTGCTGGAAGTCCCCGTGGAGCCAACCTGGGGCGTCTCAGGGTTCTCGTGGGCCGTCTGGAGGGCATCTTGGGCCGTCTTGGCGCCATCTTGGTCGTCTTGGAGGCGTCTCGGGACTGTCCTGAGAGCCATCTTGGGTTATCTTGGCTGTCTTGGAAGCATCTTGGAGACATCTTGGAGGCCATCTTGGGCCTTCAGGGGCCATTTTGGAGGCGATTTTGTCAACGAGGTGTGGATTTTCCCGAGCTTGCCAGGTGGCCGGCGGGTTGGGCCGAATCCCAGGGGAAGTTCTTTAGACAAGAACCAACTTTCACCCAGACATCCAGCACGCCGTGCACCCTTATGGCAAGACCAGGGGGGTCGGCGGATCGAAGACGCCTACGGCGAATCACCGCCGCCCCCTGCTATTTTGAATCGTCCATCTGGCCGAGCCTTGTGGCAACAACTCTGCCAAGCTATATCGGACCATGTGTTCCCCCCAGCTGTTGTGGAAACCCTTTGGGGAACACTTGGGGGAGGATGGCGGGGAAGACCAGGAGGGGGAGGAGGAGGAGGAGGAGGAGGAGGAGGAGGAGGAGGAAAGAGAAGGAGGAGGAGGAGCGAGAGGAGGAAGGAGGGGGTATGGAGAGGAGGAGGGGCGAGGAGGTGGAGGGAGAGGCGAAGTGAAGGTGAGGGAGGAGGAGGAGAAGGAGAGAGAGGAGGAGGGAGGGGGTGGAGAGGAGGGGGTGAGGAGGAGGAGGAGGAGGAGGAGGAGGAGGGAGGAGGAGGTGGAAGAGGAGCAGGGGGATGAAGAAGGGAGGAGGAGGAGGGGGAGGAGGAGGAGGAGGGGGGTGGAGGAGGAGCAGGAGAGAGGGGGAGGAGGAGGAGACGGAAGAGGAGAAGGATGGAGGAGGAGGAGGAGGAGGAGGAGGAGGAGGAGGAGGAGGAAGATGAGGAGGAGGAGGAGGAGGAGGAGGAGGAGGAGGAGGCGAAGGGCGCATCTTTGGAGCCTCCGGGGGCAGTCTTGGGGCCTCCTAAGAGCTTCCTGGGAGCCTCTTGCAGGCATCTTGGGGGCCTCCTTGGGCCTCTTGTGGGTCTTTCGGGGCTTCTCGGGGTCCTCTTTGGCCTTCCTAGGGCGTTCCTGGCCCGTCCGACGCCGTCGGAAGCTATCTTCGGGTCTCTCTGGGCCGACTTGGGGGCCCTCTTGGGGTGCTCTAGGGCCGTCTTGGAGGCGCAGCCCTGCTGCGGACTGCTGAGCCCTGCTGAGTCAGCTGGCAGCGCCACGGGAGCCGGGCGCACAACATGTAGGGACACATTTCTGGTGTAATCTATGTGGTGCATTCACGGTGGAGCAATGTACGCGTACAACCACATGTGGTACAATTCATGGGTTGCAATCTATAGTGTGCAGTTCAGGTCGTGCAATGTTGTGTACAATCTATGTGGTGCAATCTATGATGTGCAATCTATGTTGTACAGTCTATGTTGGGCAATCCATGTGAAGCAATCTGCGTGGTGCAACCCGTGTGGACCAGTATATGTGGTGCCATCCATGTGGTGCAATCTATGCTGTGCAATCCGTGTAGTGCAAGCCATGTGTTGCAACCTGTTTTGTGCAATCTGTGCGGGATCATCTTTGCTGTGCAATATATGTGATGCAATATATGTTGTGTAAACTATGTGATGCAAAGTGCGAGCGGCACTCCCGCCCAGACGACGGGCGGCGAAGGAGCGGCGACGGGGCGACGACGGCGACAACACAGCCGCCAGACCGCCACCCAGACCCAGACGACGGGCGGCGACGGTGCGGCGACGGTGCGGCGACGGCGACAACACAGCCGCCAGACTGCCACCCAGGCCCAGATTCTGTGCGGCGACGAGGCCGCGACGGGGCTGCGACGGCGACAATAACCGCCAGACCGCCACACCAGCCGAGTTCCTTAGAAAAGAAGTAAGCACCCCTAGGTGCAGGCATTGCTTGGGGAATATAAGATGCCTGCGGCGAATCACCGCCGCCCCCTGCCTTTTGGAAACGCCCATGCGGCTACACGTTGGACCGAAGTCTGGTCAAGCTATTGGACTATTTGTTCCCCCAGCCGCTGTGGAAACCCCTTGGGGGAACACTAGGGGGAGAAAGATGAATGAGGAGGACGAGCGGGAGGAGACGGCGGAGGAGGAAGAAGAGGAAACCTCTTGAGGTCCTCTTGGGCCCTTAGGTCCTCTTGGTTACTCTTGGGTTCTCTCGGGGGGGGGACCAATTGGGGGCCTCCTGGGGCCTCTTGGGGTTCTCCCGGGGCATTTTAGAGAACCCTCATGAGCCGTCTTGCGGGCCTCTTGGGGGCCTCTTAGGCAGTCTCTATGGCGATCTTGGGGGCTTATGGTCCCGTCTTGGAGCGTCGGGAGCCGAGCACGCTGAAAGCATTGAACACACTAGACGTTAGCCTCCTGGAGGTTCTCTTGGAGCCCTACTGGAGGTTCTCTTGGAGCCCTCTTGGGGCGTCTAAGGGGCCTCTTGGGCTTCGGAGACCGTCTTGGGCCCTCCCTGGGCAGTCGTTGGTCCTTCTTTTGGCGCTGTAGGGCCGTCTTGGAGGTCTCGGGGGCCGCCTTGAGGCCGTCTTGGGGGCCTCCTGGGCTGTCTTGGGACCACCCTCTGAGGTCATCTTGCGTGCCTCTTGGGGACCTCTTGGGGCGATGTTGGGGTGATCCTGAAGGCCCATCGGCCCGCCTTGGAGCGTTGGAAGCCCGACAAGGCGAGAACGCTTACATCATTGAACGTACATACGGAACATCACAGATTTTGGCCTCCTGGCTGTCCTCTTGGAGCCCTGTTCGGGCGTCTACGGGGCCTCTTGGCCTTCAGATGCCGCCTGTCGCCTGGGGCCGTCTGAGCGGCCTCCTGGGTTGTCTTGCGACCCTCTGGGTCCGTCTTGCGGGCCTCTTGGGGGCTTCCTTGGCCGTCTCGGGGCGATCTTGGGGGCGTATGGGCCCCCGTCTTGGAGCTTCTGAAACCCGCAAAGGCGAGAACGCTCACATCATTGAAACCATATGGAACATATGTTGGCCTTCTGTCGGTCCTCTTGGAGCCCTCTTGGGGCGTCTGAGAGGGCTCTTTGGGCCGTCTGGAGGACATCATGGAACATCTTGGCACCATCTCGGCCATCTTAGAGGCGCCTTGGAATCGTCATGGAGGCCGTCTTGGACCATCTTTGCCGTTTTGGGGGCATCTGGGGCCATATTGGCCGTCTTAGAGGCCATCCAGGGGCCGTCTTGGGCGGGAACCACCATGTCAGCCAGATTTTCTGCACGGTCGGCTGGTTGTGCCGAAGCGCACTAGGAGGTCTTTGAAAAAGAACCCAAAGCCCTCAGAAGTTTCGCTCGCCGTGCACCCCGGTGATGAATCACCAAAGGGGAGGGCGGCGGATTCCGTAGCCATTTTGGCTCAAGTGTTTCTTGCCCGAGCCGCTTTGGCAGCTAGCCAGCTCATTGCCTGCCTGGGGCTCGCTATCGCGTCTTGCGTTTTTGTCACGCCATGCATCGCGTTGGCAGCGCAGTCCTCGGTGCCGTTAGCTTCCAGCTCGCGCACTTGGCCCTGGAGGCGCCACAGAGTCGGGCAGCGTGGGGTTGGAGCATGGACGTGCCGCCTGGCCTTGGCTTCACGTGCGAGGAGGGCAGCACCATTGCCGGAGCTGCTGGTTCACCTGACAGCGATTTTGATTGCACAGTTGTACCGGACAGCGGCATGGAATGTGATGTCTCGAGCACGAGCATAGTGTGCTATAAGACTGCCACGCCAAGCGACACCTTCATCCCAACAGCGGGGCTGTGCATCAACAATGGCCATCCGCCCAATATGGATGACAACGACTCGGCGATCACGTGGAGTACAGTGCCATCATGCACCGAGGTCGACACAACAGTCGATGATGTGACAAGCGACACACCTATGGCATCAGCCGTTGGTGCGGCAGTTGCAGTGAGCGTGCTCTGCGTCTAGATTCTAGATCAAGACCCCGTGCTTAGCGCCCGCTTTTGAATTCGTGATTCATTCGAAAGTCTCTCCCATCATAGCCACTTGCTGTAACGAGTTGGCGCGTAGCTTTGCTGCGTGAGCTGTGAGGGCAGAGCGGCATGCACCCGCAAATAGCAGGGGTACCATTACCGCTTGCGGGCGCGTAGCTCTGCAGAAGCGTGAGGCGACAGCGGGGTGCACCCGCACACAGCAGGGGGTTGCCGCTGCCGCTCGCACCGCAGACACTGCCTGCTGCATTTTGTGATAGTTTGGTTTTCGCTGCGCAGAGCAAGCGCGCATCATTTTCAGCGCTGGTATCATTTTCAGTTGCCCGCGTGTGGCCCGTATGAGCGCACGCCAGAAGCATTCTTCATCTGATAGCCAACCGCTTGCAAAAAAAAGGGCAGGGCGGCGGATCTAAGGCGCCTACGGCGAATCACCACCGTCGCCTGCCTTTTGGAAGCGCCCATGTGGCCAACAGTTGGACCGGAGTCTGGCCAAGCCATTGGACTATGTGTTCCCCCCAGCCATTGTGGAAATCCTCAGGGGAACACTCGAGAGGAAGGGAAAGGAGGAGGAGAGGAAGGAGAAGGCGGGGGTGGAAGAGGAAAAGGCCTTTTGAGGCGCTCTTGGGGCTCTTGGGGACTTCCCTGGGAGCCTTTTCGGAGGGTTCTAAGACGCATCTTGGGGGCCTCTGGGGCCTCTTGGGGTCTCCTGGGACCTCTTGGGGACCTCTTAGGGACCTCTTGGGTGCCTCTTGGGGGCCTCCTGGCCTTCGGAGGCCGTCTTGGGCCCCTCTTGCTGGGCCGTCGTGGGTCCCTCTTTGGGCCCTCTAGGGCCATCTTCTGGGGCCGTCTTTTCGGGCGTCTTGGGGGCCTCCTGGGCTGTCTTGGGGCCCTCTTGGGCCGTGTTGCGGGCCTCTTGCGGGCCTCCTGCCTGTTGGTCCGTCTTGGAGCATCGGAAGCCCGAAGAGGCGAGAATGCTAACATCATTGGAACCCCGACGGAACATTCGGGCGTTTTTGGCCTGCTGGAAGTCCCCGTGGAGCCAACCTGGGGCGTCTCAGGGTTCTCGTGGGCCGTCTGGAGGGCATCTTGGGCCGTCTTGGCGCCATCTTGGTCGTCTTGGAGGCGTCTCGGGACTGTCCTGAGAGCCATCTTGGGTTATCTTGGCTGTCTTGGAAGCATCTTGGAGACATCTTGGAGGCCATCTTGGGCCTTCAGGGGCCATTTTGGAGGCGATTTTGTCAACGAGGTGTGGATTTTCCCGAGCTTGCCAGGTGGCCGGCGGGTTGGGCCGAATCCCAGGGGAAGTTCTTTAGACAAGAACCAACTTTCACCCAGACATCCAGCACGCCGTGCACCCTTATGGCAAGACCAGGGGGGTCGGCGGATCGAAGACGCCTACGGCGAATCACCGCCGCCCCCTGCTATTTTGAATCGTCCATCTGGCCGAGCCTTGTGGCAACAACTCTGCCAAGCTATATCGGACCATGTGTTCCCCCCAGCTGTTGTGGAAACCCTTTGGGGAACACTTGGGGGAGGATGGCGGGGAAGACCAGGAGGGGGAGGAGGAGGAGGAGGAGGAGGAGGAGGAGGAGGAGGAAGAGAAGGCGGAGGAGGAGGAGGAGAGGAGGAGGGGGGGGATGAGGAGGAGGAGGGGAGGAGGAGGAGGGAGGGGGAGGAGGAGGTCGGAGTGAGGAGCGAGAGGAAGAAGAGGAGTGAGGGGGGAGGAGGGGGCAGGTAGGACTTCGGACGGAGGAGGAGGAGGTCTCCGTTGCCCTTCCTCCTCCAGGTCTTCCTTTTTAGGAGGATTCTTTCTGAGGAGGAGGAGGTGGAGGAGGAGGCGCATGAGGACCTAGGAGGAGGAGGATGAAGAGGAGAAGGAGGAGGAGGAGGAGGAGGAGGAGGAGGAGGAGGAGGAGGATCTTGAGGAGGAGGAGGGGAGGAGGAGGAGGAGGAGGAGGCGAAGGGCGCATCTTTGGAGCCTCCGGGGGCAGTCTTGGGGCCTCCTAAGAGCTTCCTGGGAGCCTCTTGCAGGCATCTTGGGGGCCTCCTTGGGCCTCTTGTGGGTCTTTCGGGGCTTCTCGGGGTCCTCTTTGGCCTTCCTAGGGCGTTCCTGGCCCGTCCGACGCCGTCGGAAGCTATCTTCGGGTCTCTCTGGGCCGACTTGGGGGCCCTCTTGGGGTGCTCTAGGGCCGTCTTGGAGGCGCAGCCCTGCTGCGGACTGCTGAGCCCTGCTGAGTCAGCTGGCAGCGCCACGGGAGCCGGGCGCACAACATGTAGGGACACATTTCTGGTGTAATCTATGTGGTGCATTCACGGTGGAGCAATGTACGCGTACAACCACATGTGGTACAATTCATGGGTTGCAATCTATAGTGTGCAGTTCAGGTCGTGCAATGTTGTGTACAATCTATGTGGTGCAATCTATGATGTGCAATCTATGTTGTACAGTCTATGTTGGGCAATCCATGTGAAGCAATCTGCGTGGTGCAACCCGTGTGGACCAGTATATGTGGTGCCATCCATGTGGTGCAATCTATGCTGTGCAATCCGTGTAGTGCAAGCCATGTGTTGCAACCTGTTTTGTGCAATCTGTGCGGGATCATCTTTGCTGTGCAATATATGTGATGCAATATATGTTGTGTAAACTATGTGATGCAAAGTGCGAGCGGCACTCCCGCCCAGACGACGGGCGGCGAAGGAGCGGCGACGGGGCGACGACGGCGACAACACAGCCGCCAGACCGCCACCCAGACCCAGACGACGGGCGGCGACGGTGCGGCGACGGTGCGGCGACGGCGACAACACAGCCGCCAGACTGCCACCCAGGCCCAGATTCTGTGCGGCGACGAGGCCGCGACGGGGCTGCGACGGCGACAATAACCGCCAGACCGCCACACCAGCCGAGTTCCTTAGAAAAGAAGTAAGCACCCCTAGGTGCAGGCATTGCTTGGGGAATATAAGATGCCTGCGGCGAATCACCGCCGCCCCCTGCCTTTTGGAAACGCCCATGCGGCTACACGTTGGACCGAAGTCTGGTCAAGCTATTGGACTATTTGTTCCCCCAGCCGCTGTGGAAACCCCTTGGGGGAACACTAGGGGGAGAAAGATGAATGAGGAGGACGAGCGGGAGGAGACGGCGGAGGAGGAAGAAGAGGAAACCTCTTGAGGTCCTCTTGGGCCCTTAGGTCCTCTTGGTTACTCTTGGGTTCTCTCGGGGGGGGGACCAATTGGGGGCCTCCTGGGGCCTCTTGGGGTTCTCCCGGGGCATTTTAGAGAACCCTCATGAGCCGTCTTGCGGGCCTCTTGGGGGCCTCTTAGGCAGTCTCTATGGCGATCTTGGGGGCTTATGGTCCCGTCTTGGAGCGTCGGGAGCCGAGCACGCTGAAAGCATTGAACACACTAGACGTTAGCCTCCTGGAGGTTCTCTTGGAGCCCTCTTGGGGCGTCTAAGGGGCCTCTTGGGCTTCGGAGACCGTCTTGGGCCCTCCCTGGGCAGTCGTTGGTCCTTCTTTTGGCGCTGTAGGGCCGTCTTGGAGGTCTCGGGGGCCGCCTTGAGGCCGTCTTGGGGGCCTCCTGGGCTGTCTTGGGACCACCCTCTGAGGTCATCTTGCGTGCCTCTTGGGGACCTCTTGGGGCGATGTTGGGGTGATCCTGAAGGCCCATCGGCCCGCCTTGGAGCGTTGGAAGCCCGACAAGGCGAGAACGCTTACATCATTGAACGTACATACGGAACATCACAGATTTTGGCCTCCTGGCTGTCCTCTTGGAGCCCTGTTCGGGCGTCTACGGGGCCTCTTGGCCTTCAGATGCCGCCTGTCGCCTGGGGCCGTCTGAGCGGCCTCCTGGGTTGTCTTGCGACCCTCTGGGTCCGTCTTGCGGGCCTCTTGGGGGCTTCCTTGGCCGTCTCGGGGCGATCTTGGGGGCGTATGGGCCCCCGTCTTGGAGCTTCTGAAACCCGCAAAGGCGAGAACGCTCACATCATTGAAACCATATGGAACATATGTTGGCCTTCTGTCGGTCCTCTTGGAGCCCTCTTGGGGCGTCTGAGAGGGCTCTTTGGGCCGTCTGGAGGACATCATGGAACATCTTGGCACCATCTCGGCCATCTTAGAGGCGCCTTGGAATCGTCATGGAGGCCGTCTTGGACCATCTTTGCCGTTTTGGGGGCATCTGGGGCCATATTGGCCGTCTTAGAGGCCATCCAGGGGCCGTCTTGGGCGGGAACCACCATGTCAGCCAGATTTTCTGCACGGTCGGCTGGTTGTGCCGAAGCACACTAGGAGGTCTTTGAAAAAGAACCCAAAGCCCTCAGAAGTTTCGCTCGCCGTGCACCCCGGTGATGAATCACCAAAGGGGAGGGCGGCGGATTCCGTAGCCATTTTGGCTCAAGTGTTTCTTGCCCGAGCCGCTTTGGCAGCTAGCCAGCTCATTGCCTGCCTGGGGCTCGCTATCGCGTCTTGCGTTTTTGTCACGCCATGCATCGCGTTGGCAGCGCAGTCCTCGGTGCCGTTAGCTTCCAGCTCGCGCACTTGGCCCTGGAGGCGCCACAGAGTCGGGCAGCGTGGGGTTGGAGCATGGACGTGCCGCCTGGCCTTGGCTTCACGTGCGAGGAGGGCAGCACCATTGCCGGAGCTGCTGGTTCACCTGACAGCGATTTTGATTGCACAGTTGTACCGGACAGCGGCATGGAATGTGATGTCTCGAGCACGAGCATAGTGTGCTATAAGACTGCCACGCCAAGCGACACCTTCATCCCAACAGCGGGGCTGTGCATCAACAATGGCCATCCGCCCAATATGGATGACAACGACTCGGCGATCACGTGGAGTACAGTGCCATCATGCACCGAGGTCGACACAACAGTCGATGATGTGACAAGCGACACACCTATGGCATCAGCCGTTGGTGCGGCAGTTGCAGTGAGCGTGCTCTGCGTCTAGATTCTAGATCAAGACCCCGTGCTTAGCGCCCGCTTTTGAATTCGTGATTCATTCGAAAGTCTCTCCCATCATAGCCACTTGCTGTAACGAGTTGGCGCGTAGCTTTGCTGCGTGAGCTGTGAGGGCAGAGCGGCATGCACCCGCAAATAGCAGGGGTACCATTACCGCTTGCGGGCGCGTAGCTCTGCAGAAGCGTGAGGCGACAGCGGGGTGCACCCGCACACAGCAGGGGGTTGCCGCTGCCGCTCGCACCGCAGACACTGCCTGCTGCATTTTGTGATAGTTTGGTTTTCGCTGCGCAGAGCAAGCGCGCATCATTTTCAGCGCTGGTATCATTTTCAGTTGCCCGCGTGTGGCCCGTATGAGCGCACGCCAGAAGCATTCTTCATCTGATAGCCAACCGCTTGCAAAAAAAAGGGCAGGGCGGCGGATCTAAGGCGCCTACGGCGAATCACCACCGTCGCCTGCCTTTTGGAAGCGCCCATGTGGCCAACAGTTGGACCGGAGTCTGGCCAAGCTATTGGACTATGTGTTCCCCCCAGCCATTGTGGAAATCCTCAGGGGAACACTCGAGAGGAAGGGAAAGGAGGAGGAGAGGAAGGAGAAGGCGGGGGTGGAAGAGGAAAAGGCCTCTTGAGGCGCTCTTGGGGCTCTTGGGGACTTCCCTGGGAGCCTTTTCGGAGGGTTCTAAGACGCATCTTGGGGGCCTCTGGGGCCTCTTGGGGTCTCCTGGGACCTCTTGGGGACCTCTTAGGGACCTCTTGGGTGCCTCTTGGGGGCCTCCTGGCCTTCGGAGGCCGTCTTGGGCCCCTCTTGCTGGGCCGTCGTGGGTCCCTCTTTGGGCCCTCTAGGGCCATCTTCTGGGGCCGTCTTTTCGGGCGTCTTGGGGGCCTCCTGGGCTGTCTTGGGGCCCTCTTGGGCCGTCTTGCGGGCCTCTTGCGGGCCTCCTGCCTGTTGGTCCGTCTTGGAGCATCGGAAGCCCGAAGAGGCGAGAATGCTAACATCATTGGAACCCCGACGGAACATTCGGGCGTTTTTGGCCTGCTGGAAGTCCCCGTGGAGCCAACCTGGGGCGTCTCAGGGTTCTCGTGGGCCGTCTGGAGGGCATCTTGGGCCGTCTTGGCGCCATCTTGGTCGTCTTGGAGGCGTCTCGGGACTGTCCTGAGAGCCATCTTGGGTTATCTTGGCTGTCTTGGAAGCATCTTGGAGACATCTTGGAGGCCATCTTGGGCCTTCAGGGGCCATTTTGGAGGCGATTTTGTCAACGAGGTGTGGATTTTCCCGAGCTTGCCAGGTGGCCGGCGGGTTGGGCCGAATCCCATGGGAAGTTCTTTAGACAAGAACCAACTTTCACCCAGACATCCAGCACGCCGTGCACCCTTATGGCAAGACCAGGGGGGTCGGCGGATCGAAGACGCCTACGGCGAATCACCGCCGCCCCCTGCTATTTTGAATCGTCCATCTGGCCGAGCCTTGTGGCAACAACTCTGCCAAGCTATATCGGACCATGTGTTCCCCCCAGCTGTTGTGGAAACCCTTTGGGGAACACTTGGGGGAGGATGGCGGGGAAGACCAGGAGGGGGAGGAGGAGGAGGAGGAGGAGGAGGAGGAGGAGGAGGGAGGAGGAGGAGGAGGCGGAGGAGGAGGAGGAGGAGGGAGAGGAGGAGGAGGAGAGGAGAGAAGAGTAGGAGGAGGAGGAGGGGATGAGGAGGAGGAGGGGAGGAGAGGAGGAGGAGGAGAGGAGGAGGGGAGGAGGGAGGAAGGAGAAGGAGGAGGAGAGAGGAGGAGGGGGGGGGGGAGGAGGAGGGGGAGGAGGAGGTGAGGAGTGAGGAGGAGGAGGGAGGAGGAGGAGAGGAGGAGGAGAGGAGGAGGGAGGAGGAAGGAGGAGGAGGAGGAGGAGGGGAGGAAGAGAGCAGCAGGAGGAGAGAGGAGGATGAGGGGGTGAGAGGAGGAGGGGGAGGAGTAGGAGAGGAGGAGGAGAGAAGAGGAGGAGTAAGAGGAGAAGGAGGGAGGAGGAGGGAGTGGAGGAGGAGGAGGAGGAGGAGGAAGGATGGAGGAGAGGGGGAGGAGGGAGGAGGAGGAGGAGGAGGAGGAGGAGGAGGCGAAGGGCGCATCTTTGGAGCCTCCAGGGGCAGTCTTGGGGCCTCCTAAGAGCTTCCTGGGAGCCTCTTGCAGGCATCTTGGGGGCCTCCTTGGGCCTCTTGTGGGTCTTTGGGGGCTTCTCGGGGTCCTCTTTGGCCTTCCTAGGGCGTTCCTGGCCCGTCCGACGCCGTCGGAAGCTATCTTCGGGTCTCTCTGGGCCGACTTGGGGGCCGTCTTGGAGGCGCAGCCCTGCTGCGGACTGCTGAGCCCTGCTGAGTCAGCTGGCAGCGCCACGGGAGCCGGGCGCACAACAACTCCTTCGGTCGTCCCCCCGGGCGCGGGCGCGGGTGTTATCCCCCCGTCGGCACCAGTTCTTCCTTCGGAGTCCGCTTCGATCGACGAAAGGCTGACCTTCATCATGACGAACATAAGCTTAAAGAACGAGACGGCTTCGAAGCATGACGTTGAGAGTTTGCACGGTCCCGCTTGCCAGTGCCCGCGGGAAGCCAGCCGCGGCCGAGCAAGCAGGAAAGCGTTGGCGGGCCGCCGCCGCGCCTCTCGCAGCTCGGCCCTCTCCGGCGCGTCTGGCTCCGCGGCATGGCGCGGCCCGCCGACGCCGGCACCGCAGGTGCTGCGGCAGGTGCGCGCCTGGCCGGCCTGCCCCGCCGAGCGTCGAGGTGCCCTCCGGGGGCCCGCGCCCCTGCGCGCCCCAGCCTGGCCCACGCGGGCCCAAGAACAGAGCTCTCGGAGGATGGGGGTGTCCAACCTGGTGGGGGGTCGGGGTGGGTTCCGAGCGGGAAATTGTCGGGTGGGGGGTCCCGAGAGCAGAGCTCTCGGAGGATGGGTGTGTCCAACCTGGTGGGGGGTCGAGGTGGGTTCCGAGCGGGCTATTGTCGGGTGGGGGGTCCCAAGAACAGCGCGCCTTCCGCGCACCGGTGAGGCTCTCCGCGCCGCTCGGGCCGCAGGCCTTCGCGCGAGAGGGCCAGCAAGAGGGCGGCCCGGCGGCCGGCGAGCCAGAGAGCCAGAGAGCCGACACAGCAGGTGCGCGCCCTCACCGACGAGTGGGGCCAGTTCGCGGCGCGCATGTCCGCAGACCAGAGGCCCTGGCGGGCCTCGGGCGCTGTGCGGGGGGGGTCCGTCCGCAGCGCGCCCATCGCGCGTTCAGAGCCCGCTGCGCCCCCCCGCGGCGCGGCGGGGCCCATGTCAGCTGGCGCGCTGTTCGAGCTCCCGCCTGGGCTGCAGCCGCGGTCGGTCTCGTGTCAGCGACGGCCAGCCTTCCCTCGTCGCCACTGGCGGATTCGCTTCGACATCGTGGTCAGAACGCACCCCAGGATGGTTTGGGGGGTAGCGGTATCGACACTGTCTTGTGTCCCCCCAGTGCCGTGCCGTGCCCCCCCACCCTCTGGAGTCCACGTTGCAGGACCTCTGCGCGAGGCGCGAGGGCGCGAGCGCTGGCCCGCCGAGGCGCTGACGCCGTCCTCGCCCACCGAGGTGCCCGTGCCAACCGCCGTCCTGTCGCCCAAGTCCACGGTGGGGCCGTCTCTGTGCCCCCCTTGGCGGGCTGTCACTGCCGTGCCGCCCCCGCCCTCCAGAGCCATCCCTCTGAGCGTTAGAACTTCCAGAGGCCGAGCCGTCCGATCTGGCTCCACATCGATCCAGGCCGGCCGGGCCCGATTCGCGACTCCGCTGCTCCCGCAACCCGATGCGGCCGGATGCCCTCTTGCGCGTCGCTGTTCAGCCCGCCGCGGCCGATCCGAGTCGATCCCAGCGCCGTGCTGCTGCGGCCTGCCCCGACGCACCCTTCGATCCGATCCCGTGTATCGAGTCGGTGCCGACAGCTGCCTGCCCTGCCGGCCTATCGCGCGGCCGGGCCCGGGTCGCGCGTGCCGCCCGCGCGCCGCCCGCGCCAGCTCTGGCGCACCGACCAGCGCCTGGGCCAGCGCATAGACGAGCTGGCACAGGCCCACCCGGGGGCACGCCGGCGGCGGCGCGCTCCTCGCCGTCTTCGCCCTCGCCGTCGCCGCCTCTTCGCCTTCGCCAGCTTCGCCGTCGCCGTCGCCTTCGCCATCTTCGCCGCCAGCTTCGCCTTCGCCGCCGCCGTCGCCTTCGCCGCCTTTGCCGCTGCCGTAGTCGTCGCCGCGCAGTGGCCTTCGTCTTCGCCGTCGTCGTCGTCGCCGTCGTCGTCGCAGCCGTCGTCGTCGTCGTCGTCGTCGTCGTCGTCGTCGTCGTCGTCGTCGTCGTCGTCGTCGTCGTTGTCGTCAAACTTACAATAAGATGTAGCTGAGTGCTAGCTGGAAGTGGTGCTTGTAAGCCAACGAAGAAGAAATCGTCCCTGTCGCCTTTGACGTCGTTGTTGTCTTCGTGTTTGTTTGTGTCGTCGTCGCGGCGTCGTCTTTGTCTTCGTGTTGGCCGTCGTCGTAGTCGTGGTGGTCGTCGTCGTTCTTTGTCTTGTCGTCGTTGTCTTGTTGTGCTTGTCGTCGTCGTCGTCGTCGCGTCTTCGTCGTCGTCGTCTTCGTCGTGCCTGTCGTCGTCGGCGTCGTCGTCGTCGTTTTTGTCGCTGTCGTCGCACGTTGTCGTCTCCCTCTCTTCGCACGTCTGTCGTTGTCGTCGCACGTTGTCGTCATCCCCATCGTCGTGCCTCTCGTTGCCTTTTTCGTCGCCCTCGTCGCCCTTCGCTCCTCAGCTCATGGGCTGCAGCGGCCCCTAATTAGGGATCCCGAGCTTTGCCGGTGTCCTCGGCTGCCCAGGCGCCGCTCCAGGGCCCCAGGGCCTTCAGGGATGGCCGGGGGGAAAGCCTGGGCTCCTCCTCCTCCTTCTCCCCCTCCTCCTCCTCCCTCCGCCTCCTCCTCCTCCTCCTCCTCCATCCCCTCCTCCCCCTCTCCCTCCTCCATCACCTCCTCCTCCTCCTCCTCCTCCTTGGGGCGTCCAGGTTCCGCTTCATTCGGGACCCTTTCGCAGCTGGCAGTAAGTCGACGGAAGGAGCACGGGGACCATGACCACGACGTCGCGGGATCTTGTCCGTGCCGATCTTGGTCATGGTCCATGTTTGCCGTCGCCGATTCGCGAGGATGATGCACGAATCGACGCTGACCAAGATCGACGCGGACCGAGATCGACACGGCTTCTCCGCGTTCAGTCTTGGTCATGGTCCCCGTTCTCATCCCCTCGAGTGAGTCGTGGCAACGTCCGGGGGGACAGGCTCAGGGGGGATGCGTCGTCCCCCAATCGCCCATGTCCAGGAGGGAACAAAAACACAGACACAGTTAATCGTCGATTCCCCAGAAAAGATGGGAACATATAGGAAGTGGGGGGGAAGACAGAAACCCGGAAAATATGGGAAGGTGGGGGGAATCTTTTTATTAGTGTGTATCTATTTGTGTGTCCCAGGGCCCCTGCAAATCGCCCATGTCGCAAAGCGTGGCAGGCGTGCCCTTCTCTCGACGCCTGGCAGTGGTCGCAGGGCGCGGCAGGCGCGGCAGGCTCTCCATGCCGCAGGGGGGGTACGCAAAAGGTCGTCGGGGCGCCCGGCGTGCCAGGGCCGCACGGCTCGGCGAGCGCGGCGCCGGGAGATCGGCGTCGAACGCTTCGCCGCATCCGGAAGACGCCTTTTCAGGAGGGAAGAGAGCACACAGACACAATCAATCGCCGATTCCCCAGAAAATATGCGAAAATATGGGAAGTGGGGGGGAAGACAGAAACCCAGAAAATATCGGAAAGTATTGGGATTTCTGTTATTTGTGTGTATCTATTTGTGTGTTTGCGGGCCTCTTCAGCTTTTTCGAGCGGAGCAGGGTTCAATATTCGCAGCCCCACGCGGGTCCTAAAAACAGGCACGCGGGCTTGAATGGTTGCGTTTTGTGTGAGGCCTTCTTGGAGGTTTTGTTGTCCAGGGTTTTCCTACCTGTGTGTATTGTTTTTGCTTTGCCTTCTCTCTGTCCTTCTTTACCGGCCACGCTCGAAACAAAGCAAGGTCCGGCTGAGGACAAGGGACGAGGCATTGGTGGAGGTCTGAGCAGCGCCGCACGATCTGGGGGAAGAGCCCGAAACCACACCCAGGGGGCGACGCGGAGCAGCGCGGTAAGGACAACGGGACCCGACCCGCGGATGATGCCCCAGCCGTCCCTCTTCAGGGCCTCGGCGTGCTCGCGGAGATCACACGACTGCAGCCTGTCTACGGCGGGCTCTTCGCGTTGTGCCCCCCACCCATCTTCCAGCACGGGTGCTGCAGAAGACCAGGGAATCCCGTCATGCCTTCCAGGGGCTCTGGCGAATGGCTTCTCTTCTTCCTCATCGTAGTTCTCTTGGTATTTCCTCCTCTTTTCAATCCCCTCCCCTCCCCTCCCACCCCCCCTCCCCTCTGCTCCTCCTCCGATTCCTCCTCCGATTCCTCCTCCGATTCCTCCTCCTCCTCCTCCTCCTCCTCCTCCTCATCTCTCCCCTTTTCCTGTTCCTTCTCCTTCCCTCCCCCCTTTCCCCCCTTCTCTCCAACCCACGGCGGACCTCAACCATACACCAACACCGACCCTGGCCAGGATCGGTGTAGGTGGATGCTGGTGTCCTCGTAGCTCCTTCCCGTCTACCCTCCTTACCGCAGCCCCTGAGACAGCATGCCCCGATGGTGTCGGCGACGCTGGTGCCGTTCGGCGGCCGCGAGCATCAGACCGTCCTTGCGCCTCTGGAGTCCCCGTGCCCTCTCTTGCCGAGGAGGTGAGCAGTTTCCTCTTCCTCGTCGCCGTGAAGTGAAGTGTCCAGGAGGTGGTTCGTCGTCTCCGGGCTCTTGGAGCCCTCTCCGAGCCCCGGCAAACGACCCAGGGTGAAAAGCTGCCCTGGGGGGAGGCCCTGGGGTGGAGGACCCGTTTCCTCCAGTACTCGTGTGAATCGTGGTGGGACTCGGCTTGCTGGTCCTTGGGCCGCTTGGCCGAAGGACGCTGTCCGTGTCGTGCACCATGGCGTCACATGTTGTGCACATCTCCGGCGGGGTGTCCTTCTCTGGGTAGTCGAAGGCCAGACTGTCAGATTGGATTGGGCCCCAAGGGCCAATCTGGCCCGGCCAAACTGGATGATTTGGGTTATTCGCCAGACTGGATTCGCGCTGGCTCCCTCGCCAGATTGCCCCCGTTTGCCAGATTGGGCCTGCCAGATTGGCGCCAGATTGGCTTCGACTACCCAGCTTGTCGCCGCTCAGGGCATCGTCTGGCAATCCAGTACCCCCAGCCATTCCCAGGCGGCGTCGGAGCCAAGACGCTGAACTCAGGGCCGCTCCGGGCTCGGAGGGCCCTCGCTGCTCCTTCGGCCCCTCCAGGGCTGCTCCTCGAGCCCCCCTCGCTCACGCAGGCGCTTCTGGGGCCAGCAAGGGGCTTCTCAGGAGGGGAAAAAACACACAGACACAATTAATCGTCGATCCCCAGGAAACTATGGGAAAACATGGGCAGTGTGGGGGGGAAGACAGAAACCCCAGAAACTATGGGGAACTATGGGGAATCTCTTGTTACTTGTGTGTATTTCTTTGTGTGTGTGTTTGGGGGCCCCTTCAGCTTCGCTCGTCGCGTATGCTTCCTGCCTCTGGCAGCCCGACGGCACCGCGAACAAGTCAGAGGCACGAGCAGGCCCCGAGCGGGCGGGAGCCCGCCGAGCGGAGAGCCTCCGGGCGCCCGCCATCGCGAGACGTTGGCGCCCCTCCCCGCCGGGAGGCCAGCGTGCACGGGGACGGCGTGGCCGCGGCCGCGCGCTTCGCGGAGCCCGTCGCCGGAGGCAGGGGCCGCCCCGGAGGGCCGGGGCCTAAGAGACGGGGGTCAGCGCAAGCGGGGGTCAGCCAGAGGAGGAGGAGGAGGAGGAGGAGGAGGAGGAGGAGGAGGAGGAGGAGGAGGAGGAGGAGGAGGAGGAGGAGGAGGAGGAGGAGGAGGAGGAGCGGGAGCCTCGCCTCCCGGGGCACGGCGGCCTCCCGCCGGGCCTCGCCCTCCCGCCGGGGGCTCGGCCTCGGGGTGGCCGGCGGCCCCGAGCGCCTCGGGGGCCGCCGCCGCGCGAGCAAGACCCCCTCTGGCTGACCCGGGGTCAGCGAGCCGCTCGTGGCCGCGAGGCGGCCGCGCACATTGGCTGACCCGGGTTTGCGAAGACCTGCGTTGCAGTTTTCTTGTCCTGCATTAAGATCCCCGAGAGGGCCTGCGGCGGCAGGAGCTCGGGAGC